TAATATATATATTTATATGCACTTATATATAAATATATATATTTTTCCTTCTCCATTTATTCTTTGTACTTCCTTTCTTTTTCTTATTACTCATATAAAAGTTAAAATATATAAATTCATTGCAGAGAGAACAAATTTTAATTTAATGAATCCATAGTAAATAAATCACAAAATAGGATTTCTGACATGCTCCTTTTGAAAGATGGTGTTTATGTAATATTATTAAATTCTTCAGGAATTCCAGACAACTTTTTAAATCATTCTTAATCACTGTGCTCTTTTTTTAGATAAAAAAAATTCCAATTCAATTCAATAAAAATTTACTGGACATCTATTAAGTGCAAAGCAGTGTGGGCCTTTAGTGCTTGCTTTCTTTCTTTCTTTCTTTCTTTCTTTCTTTCTTTCTTTCTTTCTTTCTTTCTTTCTTTCTTCTTTTTTGTCTTTTTTGTGCTTGCTAGAGAGACAGAGAGAGGAGGAGAGGAGAAATCACCCCTTCCTCAGTGGGGTATGGTCATGTTGCTGTCCCTTCTCCATTTTTCTACCCCGTTGGGATTTGGGACACATAGCCACCTGTGCCCAATGTATTTTTCAAGCTGTCAGGACCAGGATTTGAACCACCTGTCAGCCATGTGGTATCTTGCCCCCTTAAGCACAAGGCCATAGTGCTAGCCCTGAGTTTTTTAAATAAATTTGTTTTTTGGTTATCTTTATTGCTTCGGATTTGAAATTGTTGGGGCTCAGGCTGGCCTGTGGCATGGCGGTTAGGACGGCTGGAACCTACATGGCCAACTGCACAGTCGGAGTCTAGACTCAGAGGCTTGAGAAACACACCAGGCACCCTGGGCATGTCTGCCCAAAATCCCGAAAGGAGAAAGAAGTGGAGAAGGGATTGCGGTGTGACCATTTCCCATGAGAGATGCTTTTGCACTTTCCTTCTATCTCTGTCTCTCTCTTTACCAAGTGTATATACCCTCTGGCAAGGCTTTTCTTTTCTTTCTTTTCTTTCTTTCTTTCTTTTTTTTTTTTTTTTTAAGAGATTAGTGCTATAGGACATGTGAGCTTACCAGAGAGACAGAAAGTGAGAAATTAGTCCCTGGGGAGATGGCCATGCCACAATCCCTTCTCCTCCATTTTCTTCTCAGGATTTTGGGCTTGCATGCACATGTGTCCAGCATGATTTTCAAGCCGACAGGTCCAGGGCTCTAACTGCAATTGACTGAGGGAGTCCAGCGCCTTAACCCCCACGCCACCTGCTGGCTCGCAGACAATTTTCCTTTTTAAAAAATGAATTATTCCTATGTACACAATGGCCAAAAGATTATTACATGCCCTCTAGCCTAGATGAAAGATGCTTTCCAGAAAGGGCTGGCCTCACAATGTATTCTGTACCTCGTATGCAGGAATCCGAGATGATATTAATATGAAGCGTGGCCGGGGAGCATCTGAGGAGCCGTCACCATGTCTGCTAACACCAGGCCAATTCTTTGATAAGGAAGGGTAAGAATGGCTCCAAGAAACATTGTGTCTATAGGGAAAAAGGAAAATAAGTGAAGTTTTGTTTTTGTTTTTGTTTTTGTTTTTGTTTTTGTTTTGTTTTGGAGAGAGATTTTTGATAGCGGGCACATGAGCTTGCTGGAGAGAGAGAGAGAGAAAGTGAAAAGTCACGCCCTGGGGTGATAGCCACACTGCAATCCCTTCTCCATTCTCCTCTCAGGATTTTGAGCACACACACACGCACCTGGCGTGAATTTCAAACCACCAGGCCAGTTCTCGAGCCTCTGTCAACCACATGGGAGTCCAGCAACTGTTACCCCATCTGCTGGTCCCAATAAGTCAAGTTTTCATTGTCTCCACTTGCTGCTTTTGATAAGCAAGCTCCAGTGTTATACTAAGACCTCATTGTACTATGAAGACATATGGCCACAGTCCCTCACACTCTCCCTAGGACTTGGAGGGACAGTAGTGCCCCTGGGTCTCCCAGGTAGAGGGGGGCCCAATCAGTCTTCTGGGCCTTCTTTCCTCTCCATGTAAGATGCTAGTGAGGTCTCCTAAAACTTTCTTAGCTTTTCTTGGGCACTTAAAATGAACATAAATAACATACTTAAGGGTTCGAATCAACATTTAAAAAGGAGTAGTTTAGGAATGTTAAATTTCCTTGTCTGCCTCAGGAGTTTCCATTTAACGACTTCATTCTCTCCACAGCCACAGCCACCCTTATGAACATCTAGCAAAAAATGGGAGCTGCTTTGTGTCAGCCAGAGGTGTGGTCACTCAGGCTGACCACCTGGTTCTAGTCCCAGACCTGACCTGATGGCTTGAAGAACATGCTGGGTGTGTGTGCATGAACGCCCAAAATCCTAACAGGAGAATGGAGAAGGGATTGTGATGTGGCCATCCCCCCTGAGAGTGGGGGTGCTTTCTCACTTTCTCTCGCTCTCCTCTTTCCTTCTCTGTTGAGTGCATATGCCCTTTAGCAAATTAAAAAAAAAATATCTTCATGTGGCTTCAGTGGGTAAATACACATGCACGCACTCACACTCACAAAAATGTTCAGACACAGAGAGATCCACAGGTCGTGTTGAAGTTAAAGAGTGTTGGCATTTTGAGGATTTGGGGTTCTAGTGTTTTATACTAATACTTGGGCAAGTTATGTTACCCCAGTAGGCCTCAGTGGCCTCATTTGAAACATAAATATGTAAGATACATGATATCTAGAATACAGAGTAAAAAGATTTTCTAAGAAATACTTTTCTAAGCAGCTGTACAAATTGTACTAGTTATGAGAGTCAAATAGAATGGATAAATAGGGTCAGAACTGAATTTCTGGTCATTTCATTACATTGTATAACTTTGGCTGCTGAATGCAGTTGAGATTTATCTACTTGAGACAGAGAAGAGGACTATGTTTGGATATACAAAAATAAGTGGGAGTTATATTTAGCTATATCTTGATATCATTTGAATACTTCTCGCTCCCCTCCTTTTTTTAGAGAGATTTTAGCTATAGGGTACATGTGCTTGCCGGAGGGACAGAGAGACAGAAAGTGAGAAATAACCATCCCCTCTGGGAAGGTAGGCCATGTCTCAATCCCTTCTCTATTCCCCCTCTTGGAATTTTGGGCACATACGCATACTCACCTGACATGAGTTTTAAGCCACCGGGTATGAGACTCGAACCACAGTCAATTACATGGGAGTCCAGCAATGTAATCATAATTATGCCATCTGCTGGTCTCAGCATTTGAATATTCTTATTTCATTAAAAAGTTAGTGGAAAATGTTATTTTTCCTCAACAACTTTATAGAAACTCTAGTATATCCCCAGTGTAGCCTCATTCCTCATGGCAGGGTTAAGAAGATTAACAATGTAAGTTTTGGGTGTTACATATTTCCCACTTCAGATGGCATATTAAAAATTACTGTTCATGAAAATTAAATAATTATGTCTTCTATGTCACAGAACATAATTCGTCTACTTAGACATGATCCGTGCATGTTTGCTAAATTGTTCTAAATGAAGTCTTGGTATCACGGGATGGTCTTGAGCTTTCAGGAGATGGAAGTTTGCTTACCGCCTGGGCAAAGTTTCTAATGATGTCAAAACAAGCTGCTTCTCCCAAGCTTCGGGTAATCCCACTCGATCCCTTACAGTCTGGGAGAGACGTGGTTGGCATTTGGATTTTAACAATCTGGAGCAGCTTGTTCCACTCACCCAAGGGGGTCGAACTCTGAATAACTCCTCTGAAAAACAAACAGCAGCAGGCCCGGCTGTTTACTGGGTGCTTCTCCCCACCAAGTCTACGTAGATAAAGGCATCAGAAAGAAAGCTGGACCAGGGCACTGCTCCAGATGACAATAATTAGAGCTATTTCCACACACTCCAGATTTCTTATCCTTTTGGCACTGTGGCTGGGAGTTACAAGTCACTTCAGGTCAAGAAACAAAGCTCTGAGAACAAGCAACTCTTTTTGTGTGGAGACCAGTTAATCAATTGATAAGCTTCTCATCCATTTCTGCTCTTTCCTGGCCTCAAGGACTTTCCCATTTGTTATGATCTCACCAGAGGGTGAGTCAGTGAGAAAAGATGGGAGGACTCAAGTGAGTTTCGTTGCTTACTTTGACATACTGTAATTCAGAAGGCTTAGCTGGAAACACATCCTGTCTCTACGCTCTTTTCCCTCCCGTTTTCTGCATCCATTCCATTCCTTTCCTCTTTTTGCACTGATCCTGGCTCTTCTGTCCTGAACCAATTTCTTTGCTTTCACCTGTTTTCTTTCTCCTCTTGGTTTTCAGTCTTTTCTACTTGAGAAGAACAAACAGCAAAACTGAGGCAGTGATTTTTTTATTTTTGGAGAGGATTTTGCTATAGGGCGCGTGCGCTCGCCAGAAAGAGACAGAGAGATAGAAAGCGATAAATCGACCCCCAGGGGGGATGGTTACACCACAATCCCTTCTCCTTCATTCTCCTCTCGGGATCTTGGGCACGCACGCACACGTGCCTGGCGTGAGTTTAAGCCACCGGGTCCAGGACTTGAACCGCAGTCGACTACGTGGGAGTCCAGCGACATAGCCATTAAGCTAATTGCTGGTCCCGAGGCAGTGATATTTGATCTTACAGATTTCAGGTGAAATCTGTTTGTTTTCTTCTCAATTAATTTACAAATATACAATGAAGAATAAAAGAGCTGGTCCTGGGCAGATTTTAAGGAGTGCCACTCACCGGCTAGTCCAGAGAGACAGCTCTGCCCTCCTCTGTGATGATTTGCGTGTGAATCCATCAGCTTGTACAATTCTTGGATACGATATAAGGTTTTTAAATGCTACTCACTCTTTTGAAGTGCAATTTTCTCCCAAATTATTTTCCTTAGGTACTTTTCTCTTTGTCTCTCCTGTAGCTCTTCATCTTCTGCTTTGGGTTCGTTCAGTGTCCCATAAATAGCAGTGGCCTCCCTAGGCGTCAGCCAATCTAAACTGGACACACAGGCAATGTAATGGTGCTTCCAAGCACCATATTCATGATCTGTTGGTGTGTATGGCAGAAACCATCCAAACTTAATGCATTTGGGCATCCATAAGCAATCCTTCGGAGAAAGAAACAAGAGAAAGATGAATTGGGACCAGCATTTAGCATTATGGCTATGATGCTGGACTCCGACATAGTCAACCATGGTTCGCGTCCCGAACCGGGTGGCTTAAAACTCACGCCGGGTGCGTATGCGTGTGTGCCCAAGATCCCAAGAGGAGAATGGAGGAGAAGGGATTGCAGCATGGCCATCCCCCCTGGGGGGTGATTTCTCACTTTCTGTCTCTCTGTCTCTGTCTGGAAAGTACATGCGCCCTATAGCAAAAAAAAAAAAATAAAAAAATAAAAAACCTCTAAAAAAAAAAGAGAAAGATGAATTGCACATTTTTAAGGACAGGTTTTTAGCAATAATGTTTTCAGGCACACAGGAAAATTTTTTATTACTTTGAGATTTCTGGTGCAATTGATTTTTTTTTTTTTTTGAGAGAGATTTTGCTATAGGGCATGTGTGCTCGCCAGAAAGACAGAGAGAGACAGAGAAACAGAAAGTGAGAAATCACCTCCCCCAGGGGGGATAGCCATACCGCAATCCCTTCTCCTTCATTCTCCTCTTGGGATCTTGACACGCATGCACGCACGCCCGGTATGAGTTCAAGCCACTGGGTCTGGGACTCGAATAGTGGTTGACTACATAGGAGTCCAGTGACATAGCCATTATGCTATCTGCTGGTCCCTGGTGCAATTGATTTTCCATCTAAATCTGACTCTGAGAAGAAGGATACCTTATTCCATGGGAAAACTATTCTTTAATGAATGTGTGTGAGTGTGTATAATTTTATTTTATTTTATTTATCCATTCATTTATTTTAATTTGACCAGAGAAAGAGAAAAAGAGAGAGAGAGGAAAGTAAGAAAGCAAGCCACAAGGTTTGGGACTTGAACTGGGGTTCGCCATGCAGGACTGTCCACTGCCTTCACTATGCCACCTGGTGGCCCCTACTTATATATTTTATATGAGTATACGTATTAGTCACCTTTTGACACTTGTCCAGGGTTTGGATTTCGTTACCTTAGGCCTAGATTCTCAGAATCAAGCTTCTGGCAGTGGTATAATAGATTATTTCAAACCAACCTTCCCACTGACAATCCTTTTGATTGACCCATATGATGGTATAGATATGTAACCATTTTTGACACATGGGAACAGCAAATTTCATGAACTTCACTCCATCAAATATCTAAACAAATTCAATTAGCCTCATAAAACTACGAAGGCCACAAGGATTTGTACAACAAAGACCTTAGAGAGAAGAGAAACCCAGAGAGGTAAGCCTGATATTCGCAGCACTTTTTACTTCAAAGTACTCACCCGTTCCAAAGTAAAGCTTTTCAGGCTAAAAAGCACAGCAGAAATTTATGACTGAAAAATGTAGAAGCCGTAAAGCATTTTACTCATCCTGACTGGGAAAAGAGAACACAAATTGAAATTCAGGGCCCACTCAGGGGAAGAGCTCTGGAAGTCATGCCAGGCTTTTGGTTGAGGTCTTTTTCAGGAAGGATAACGCGAAATTAGACAAACTACCAGAAGGTCAGAAGCCGGCTGTGAAATATCTCCTTCCTGACTGGATTTACATGATCTGTTCCTAGCCTAAGCAAATGCCAGAAGCGAAAGTAAAATCTCTCTGGAGGAAGATAATATCATTCAGAAAATCAAATCAATTTTTTTTATGTTCAATATCCAGTTCTCAACCTAAAATAACCAGAACACACAGATAGGCAAGAATCATTTGCTTCCTCTTTTGGTTTTTAATAACTACAGAGAGATCCTCAGGACATCCAAGCATTGTAATGATCAAACCTGAACTTTGTAAAAACAAAACAAAAAACACCCCACAACTCACATGTCTAAGAAATTAAATGATTAGTGGGAGATTTATAACAAAGAATCAAATCAATGTTCTAGAACTGGGGGAAAAATAACAGATATTTGTAATTCACTAAATGGGTTTAAGAGCAAATTGGAATCCACTAAAGAAAGAATTAGTAAACTGAATGGTCAGAAGACCATCCTGACTGAAACGCTGAGGGCTGAAAAAAATAGAATCTGTATATAAGAAAATGAAACTTGTAGGACACGGTAAATCAATCTGACATATAAACATCGGAATCCAGGAGAAAAAGAGAATGGGGAGAAAGCAATATGTGAAAAGATGATATCAGAAAACATTTCAAAACTGGTGAAAAACATCAAATTTCAGACTCAAAACACAAAACAGGATGAATATACACACATATACCTAAAAATTTATTTCCGACCTATAATTTAAATTTTCAGGGCCGGCAGTTGGTACGATGGTTGAGGCACTGGATCCCACAGGCTTATTCTGCGGTTCAAGTCCCAGACCCGGTAGCTTGATGTGTGTTCATGCCCAAAATCCCAAGAGGAGACTTGAGGAGAAGGGTTGCAGCGAGGCCATCCCCCCTGGGGGAAAATTTCTCACTCCCTGTCTCTTTGTCCCTGTCTCCAGTGAGCATATATACCCTTTGGCAAAAATCTAAAAAACATAAAAAATGTTTAAATGATAAATTTTCAGTGAAAATATCATTCAAATAAGATAGTGAAATAAAAACATTTTCAGACAGAAACTAAGAGAACTGGTACCAGCCCATGGTGTAATGGTTACGTCGCTGGACTCTGATGTAGTCAACCACAGTTTGAGTTCCAGACTTGGTGGCTTAAAACTCACGTGTGCATGCTTCCCTGAAATTCCAAAAGGAGAATGGAGGAGAAGAGATTGTGATATGGCCATCCACCCCAAGCCGGGGAGAGTAATTTCTTGCTTTCCATCTCTCTGTCTCTGTCTCTCCAGCAAGCACCTGCACCCGATAGCAAAAATCTCTCTCTCTCTCAAAAAAAAAAAAAGAATTTATCAGCAGCAGATTTGAGTTAAAATAAATATCAAAGAAAATTCGGAAGGAAAATAACCCCAGCTGAAACTCAGAGATGCAGGAAAGTATGAAGAGCTACAGATAATGTAAGTGGGTAGAACATGTAAATAAATATTGACCATAGAAAACAGTAGTGGGAAAAGCAATTGGAGTAATGGTTACATCACTGGACTCCCATGTAGTTGACCGTGGTTTGAGTCCCAGACCTGGCAGCTTAAAATTCACGCTAAGTACCTGTGTGTGAATGCCCCAAATCCTGAGAGGAGAATGGAGGAGAGATTGTGGCATGGCCATCCTCCCTGGGGGATGATTTCTTACTTTCTGTCTCTCCAGCAAGCACATGTGCCCTATAGCAAAAAAGAAAAAAAAATTATCTAAAATAAGAAAAAACAACAGTAATAAAGTTGGGTGAAATATAGGTATATATACATCTGTGTGCGTGTGTGTTTGTGTGTGTATAAAATATAACAAAGGTACAGAAACCAAGAAAGGGACAAGTAGAGTTAAAAGGTTCTAAGCTCTTCATATTATCTTAGAAGTGGCACATTTAGGGGCCAGCAGGTGGCATAATGGTTAAGGTGCTGGACTCCCACTTGGCCAATCGAGGTTTAAGTCCCAGACCCAGAGGCTTGAAACTCACATTGGGCACATGTGTGTGCATGCCCAAAATCCCGAGAGGAGAATGGAGAAGAAATTGCAGCATGGCCAGGCCCCTGGAGAGTCATTTCTCACTTTCTCTCTCTGTCTCTGTCTCTCTAGCAAGCACATGCATCCTATAACAAAAACCTAAAACAAAAAAAGAAGTGATACAATTATACAAAACACATGCTGTAATCTCTACGATAACCATGGAAGAACCGTTAAATAATTAATGATTAATAATCTAAAAAATATTTAACAAAACCAGGCCAGCCAGTGGCATGGTCGTTAAGGTGCTAGATCCCAAATGGTCAACTCCACAATTCAAGTTTTGGACCCTGCGGCTTGAAAGACAAGTCTGAGAACACATGTGTGTGTGTACCCCAAAATTCCAGGAGGGGAATGGAGGAGAGTGGTTGTGGTATGGCCATCCTCCCTAAGTGAAGAAAAGGAGACAAAACCCATGCAGAACAAACAAAAAATAAATGGTAAGATAACAGGTTTAAATCTGAATATGTCAGTATTTACATAAATATTAACAGACTACATACACTAGTTGAAAGTCAAAGATTGCCAAATGGTAAAAAAAAAAAAAGAAAAAAAAAAGGGAGTAGGCTGGCCCCATGGTCTGGTGGTTAAGAGGGCTGGATCCTACATGGCCAGCTGCATAGTTTGAATCCCAGACTTGGCAGAGTGTGTGTGTGTGTGTGTGTGTGTGTGTGTGTGTGCACGCGTGCCTCAGATCCTGACAGGATAGAGAAATAGAGGAGAAAGAATGGTGGTGTGACCATGTCTGGTTGGAGGGCATTCTCTCTCTCTCCCTCTCTCGATCTCTCTCTCTCTCCCTCTGATAAGCACATACGCCCAAAGTCAAAACCATCATATTCTATTTACTTAAATATAGGAACATAGAATAATTTAAATGAAGAAGAAACATTAATAATGTGTAAACATTAACCCTGGATTCTGAAGAAACATCTTTTATTAATTTTTTTAGAGATTCTTTTAGCTTACGGTGTGTGTGCTCACTGGAGAGAGATAGAGTCAGAGACAGTGAGAGGGAAAGTGAGAAATCACTCCCCGGGAGCGGGTGTGTGGCTACATCACAATCCCTTCTCCTCCATTCATCTCCTGGGATCTTCAACATGCAAGCACATGTGCCCCACATGATTTTTAAGCCTCCGGGGTCTAGGACTGGAACCACAGATAGTCCTGTTGGAGTGCAGTAATGTAACTGTTATGCAATTTGCTGACCCCCGAGGGAACTTTTTTTTTTTTTTTTTAGAGGGTTTTGCTATAGGGCGCGTGCGCTCGCCAGACAGACAGAGAGAGACAGAGAGACAGAAAGCGAGAAATCACCC